TATTGCGCAATAGCAAGAAATCTTCAATTGCACAGTATTGCGCAATAGCAAGAAATATCCAATAGCACAATATTGCGCAATAGCAAGAAATTGTCAATTGTACAGTATTGCACAATAGCAAGAAATATTCAATTGCACAGTATTGTGCAAAAGAAGATACTTCGTATAAATTGCTTATTTCTTGATCAATTTCAATGGGGTTTTATTCTTGAATTCTTGGGGTTCTTTAATATGCTGAATCTAACCGTGTATTAAGTTTTTGGATTTTGGGCCCCGTTTTTAAATTGGTCCACATTGAGGTCCAAAGGGTCCAAAATTTAACTTTGTTTGATTTCATCAAAAATTGAATTATTGGGGTTCTTTGATATGCCGAATCTAACCGTGTATTTAGATTCTTAATTTTTGGTTCCGTTTTCAAATTGGTCTACATTAAGGTCAAAAGGGTCCAAAATTAAACTTAGTTTGATTTTACCAAAAATTGAATTTTTAGGGTACTTTGATATGCTGAATCTAAACATGTATTTAGATTTTTGATTATGGGCCCAGTTTTCAAGTTGGTCCAAATCGGGGTCCAAAATTAAACTTTGTTTGATTTCAACAAAAATTGAATATATGGGGTTCTTTGATATGCTGAATCTAACCATGTATTTAGATTTTTGATTTTTGGGCCCCGTTATCAACTTTGTCCACATTGAGGTCAAAAGGGTCCAAAATTAAACTTTGTTTGATTTCATCAAAAATTGAATTCTTGGGGTTCTTTGATATGCTGAAACTTACCATGTATTTAGATTTTTTATTTGTGGACCCGCTATCAAATTGGTTCATATTGAGGTCAAAAGTGTCCAAAATTAAACTTTGTTTGATTTCATCAAAAATTGAATTATTTGGGTTCTTTGATATGCCAAATCTAACCGTGTATTTAGATTTTTAATTTTGGGTCCCGTTTTTAAATTGGTCTACATTAAGGTCCAAAGGGTCCAAAATTAAACTTAGGTTGATTTTAACAAAAATTGAATTCTTGGGGTTCTTTGATATGCTGAATCTAAACATGTGTTTAGATTTTTGATTATGGGCCCAGTTTTCAAGTTGGTCCAAGTTGGGGTCCAAAATTAAACTTTGTTTGATTTCAACAAAAATTGAATATATGGGGTTCTTTTATATGCTGAATCTAAACATGTATTTAGATTTTAGATTTTTGGCCCAGTTTTCAAGTTGGTCCAAATTGGGGTCCAAAATTAAACTTTGTTTGATTTCAACAAAAATTGAATATATGGGGTTCTTTGATATGCTGAATCTTACCATGTATTTAGATTTTTTATTTGTGGGCCCGCTATCAAATTGGTTCATATTGAGGTCAAAAGGGTCCAAAATTAAACTTTGTTTGATTTCATCAAAAATTTAATTATTGGGGTTCTTTGATATGCCAAATCTAACCGTGTATTTAGATTTTTAATTTTGGGTCCCGTTTTTTAAATTGGTCTACATTGAGGTCCAAAGGGTCCAAAATTAAACTTAGTTTGATTTTAACAAAAATTGAATTTTTGGGGTTCTTTGATATGCTGAATCTAAACATGTGTTTAGATTTTTGATTATGGGACCAGTTTTCAAGTTGGTCCAAGTTGGGGTCCAAAATTAAACTTTGTTTGATTTCAACAAAAATTGAATATATGGGGTTCTTTGATATGCTGAATCTAAACATGTATTTAGATTTTAGATTTTTGGCCCAGTTTTCAAGTTGGTCCAAATTGGGGTCCAAAATTAAACTTTGTTTGATTTCAACAAAAATTGAATATATGGGGTTCTTTGATATGCTGAATCTTACCATGTATTTAGATTTTTATACGACCGCAAAAAAATTTTTGTGGTCGTATATTGGTATGACGTTGGCGTCGTCGTCGTCCGGCGTCGTCGTCGTCGTCGTCGTCGTCGTCGTCGTCGTCGTCCGGCGTCGTCCGGCGTCGTCCGAAGACACATTGGTTTTCGCACTCTAACTTTAGTTTAAGTGAATGGATCTTTTTGAAATTTTACCACAAGGTTCAATACCACAAAAGTAAGGTTGGGATTGATTTTGGGGGTTATGGTAATAACAGTAAAGGAATTAGGGGCCAAAAAGGGGCCAAAAATAAGCATTTTTGTAACTTCCAGACATAACTTGTGTGTTAGTGTATGGATCTCTCTGACATTGTACCACAAGGTTCCATATCACTAAAGGAATGCTGGGATTGATTTTGGGGGTAATTGCCTCCAAATTTTAGGAATTAGGGGCCAAAAAAGGGGCAAAACACAAGCATGTTTCTAGTTTCATGACAATAACTTGTGTGTAAGTGTATGGATCTTTCTGAAATTGTACTACAAGGTTCCATATCACAAAGGGAAAGCTGGGTTTGAGTTTGGGGGTAATTGCCCTAAACGTTTAGGAATTTGGGGCCAAAAAGGGGCCAAAAAACACATTTTTTTCTAGTTTCCAGACAATAACTTGTGTTCAAGTGTATGGATCTCTCTGAAATTGTACTGCAAGGTACCATACCACAAAGGGAAGGCTGGGATTGAGTTTGGGGGTGATGAATCATAATGGGGGTTCAAAAAATTTGGGGGGGGGGATTTATTTTTTTTTCCTTTTTTTTCTTTTTTTCCTTTTTTGTTTCTTTTAAAATTTTCCATTTTAAGTTGGTTATTTCTGATTTATATTTAAAATCAAATAATAATGATATGGTAGGAGATACACACCAAACAGGATGTGTAAATTATTATATAATAAGTATTGTGCAATAGCAAGAAATTTTCAATTGCACAGTATTGCACAATAGCAAGAAATCTTCAATTGCACAGTATTGCGCAATAGCAAGAAATCTTCAATTGCACAGTATTGCGCAATAGCAAGAAATATCCAATAGCACAATATTGCGCAATAGCAAGAAATTGTCAATTGTACAGTATTGCGCAATAGCAAGAAATATTTAATAGCACAGGATTGTGCAAAAGAAGATACTTCCTATAAATTGCTTATTTCTTGACCAATTTCAATGGGGTTTTATTCTTGATTTCATGGGGTTCTTTAATATGCTGAATCTAACCGTGTATTTAGTTTTTGGATTTTGGGCCCCGTTTTTAAATTGGTCCACATTGAGGTCCAAAGGGTCCAAAATTAAACTTTGTTTGATTTCATCAAAAATTGAATTATTGGGGTTCTTTGATATGCCGAATCTAACTGTGTATTTAGATTCTTAAATTTTGGTTCCGTTTTCAAATTGGTCTACATTAAGGTCCAAAGGGTCCAAAATTAAACTTAGTTTGATTTTAACAAAAATTGAATTCTTAGGTTTCTTTGATATGCTGAATCTAAACATGTATTTAGATTTTTGATTATGGGCCCAGTTTTCAAGTTGGTCCAAATCGGGGTCCAAAATTAAACTTTGTTTGATTTCAACAAAAATTGAATATATGGGGTTCTTTGATATGCTGAATCTAACCATGTATTTAGATTTTTGATTTTTGGGCCCCGTTATCAACTTTGTCCACATTGAGGTCAAAAGGGTCCAAAATTAAACTTTGTTTGATTTCATCAAAAATTGAATTATTGGGGTTCTTTGATATGCCGAATCTAACCGTGTATTTAGATTCTTAATTTTTGGTTCCGTTTTCAAATTGGTCTACATTAAGGTCCAAAGGGTCCAAAATTAAACTTAGTTTGATTTTAACAAAAATTGAATTCTTAGGGTTCTTTGATATGCTGAATCTAAACATGTATTTAGATTTTTGATTATGGGCCCAGTTTTCAAGTTTGTCCAATTTGGGGTCCAAAATTAAACTTTGTTTGATTTCAACAAAAATTGAATATATGGGGTTCTTTGATATGCTGAATCTAACCATGTATTTAGATTTTTGATTTTTGGGCCCCGTTATCAACTTTGTCCACATTGAGGTCAAAAGGGTCCAAAATTAAACTTTGTTTGATTTCATCAAAAATTGAATTCTTGGGGTTCTTTGATATGCTGAATCTAACCATGTATTTAGATTTTGGATATTGGACCATAATAGGTGAATGTCCAATTTAAAATTTTTAAGTTCTTAGACCACATTCAATCTGTGTTAGAAACCTATGCTGTGTCAAATATTTAATCAAAATCCAAATCCAAAGCTGTATCAAGCTTGAATGTTGTGTCCATACTTCCCCCAACTGTTCAGGGTTCGACCTCTGCGGTCGTATCAAGCTGCGCCCTGCGGAGCATTTTATTTATTTTGTGGGCCTGCTATCAAATTGGTTCATATTGAGGTCAAAAGGGTCCAAAATTAAACTTTGTTTAATTTTAACAAAAATTGAATTTTTGGGGTTCTTTGATATGCTGAATCTAAACATGTGTTTAGATTTTTGATTATGGGACCAGTTTTCAAGTTTGTCCAAGTTGGGGTCCAAAATTAAACTTTGTTTGATTTCAACAAAAATTGAATATACGGGGTTCTTTGATATGCTGAATCTAACCATGTATTTTGATTTTGGACATTGGACCATAATAGGTAAATTAAAAAAATTGAAGTTCTTAGACCACATTCTTTCTGTGTCAGAAACCTATGCTGTGTCAAATATTTAATCACAATCCAAATTCAGAGCTGTATCAAGCTTGAATGTTGTGTTCATACTTGCCCCAACTGTTCAGGGTTCGACCTCTGCGGTCGTATCAAGCTGCGCCCAGCGAAGCATTTTATTTTATAAATGGAACGCCATATAATCCCCTTATACAATTACTGAATCTGCCCCGATATTTATGGAAGGAAACATACATTCGCGACATGCGTTAACTTTCATAAATAGGTATTTGCTATTTAAATAATTTCATGTCACCAAACGTGAAAACCTACGTCATTTCGGATAATTCCAAAAGTGTTAGGAAAGAAATGCTTAATAATTTATAGAATACAAATGATACATGCATATTGTTTTTGACAGTTAATGGAATTAGTAAACACTTAATTAAGTAAACGTTGAAATCTTTATTTTGAAGGTATTATGAAAATTTGACCTGTTCGTCGTTTGATAAAGTTTTGATGGAACGGTTAAATGACGGCGAAAAAGTAACATTGGCAAATGGCAAACTGATGGAACGGTTATTGATCCTAAAAATGGCCAGAGAGGGTATAAAGGCAAACCCAGAAGAAATATATTACACGTGGGATTGGGATGCTCAGCCAAATGGGCCAAGCCAAGTTAATCAGGAAAATATAATTGATGAATCGAAAGCTCCGTTTTTAAACTATTTGATCGCTCAAGCTGATGAAAATATCAGCAACATCAGGTGAGTAAAAAGAGTACATGACGTCATTAACAGGAATGTTAAAAGCTCAATCAATTAGAGTTTCTTTTTGAATAAAAAAAAACCCTCATCTTAGTTACCAGGCTTATAATCTAAGTTACCAGGCTTATAATCTAAGATACCAGACTTATAATCTAAGATACCAGGCTTGTAATCTAAGATACCAGACTTATAATCTAAGATACCAGACTTATAATCTAAGATACCAGGCTTATAATCTAAGATACAAGACTTATAATCTAAGATACAAGACTTATAATCTAAGATACCAGGCTTATAATCTAAGATACCAGGCTTATAATCTAAGATACCAGACTAATAATCTAAGATACCAGACTTATAATTTAGAACACCATACTCGCGTTTCGTCTACACAAGACAAGACTCACCATTGACACTAGAATCAAAACAATAGGAAGACGAAGTTATAGAGCGTTAAAAACCAATACTGCCAATAGAAGTGTCAAATCTGGCTAAGGCTATCTAGAAAAGGGCAGAAAATAAATTGTACACTTTTCGAACAGGTAAATTTACAGACAACAAGTATTCTGTATTGAATGACAATACATAGTCCCCTACCGGTTTAAAATTCATTGTACTGAAACAAAATGCTAACTTGATCTATAACTTGTCATGGTGTAAACTATATAACAAATATCAAGTCAACATCTTCAAGCATGACGAAATAAAGTTTGGAAAACTGATTATACCAGTGAATTTTTGAAGTCCAAGGACCATTACTCTGCACAAAATCATCAGACCGGAACAATATTCGAACTTGATCTGTCACTTGTCATGATAAAACAATACACCAAATATCAAATCAATATCTTCAAGCACGAAGAAAAAAGTATGGAAAACTGATTTACCGGACTGACGGATGGACAGACAGACAGACAGACAGACAGAGTGCAAACCTAAAGTCCCCTTCGACTTCGTCAGTAGGGGACTAATAACCATATCAATGATATCTCATGCCAGCAGTGGGGTGCTGGCTACTGGGCTGGTTATGCATTCGGGAACAATTGTCTACCAGCAGTGGCATCGACCCAGTGGTTTGAAAACTTAAAAGATACCAGACTAATAACTTGGCATGCCTAAGTGTGACACGTTTTGTCAACATAAGACTCATCTTTGGTGCACGAATTAAAACCAATAACGAAGTAGAAGAGCATTGAAAACGAATAAATGCAGCAAGTTGTGACAAATTTTTCTAAGACCATGTTGCCAAAGTGTAGGAAAATTTATTGTTTCCTGGGACATATTATCCTCTTCCAAGGTGTTTCGAATTGAAACAAAAAGGGGCAAAAAACAAGCATTTTTATACGACCGCAAAAAAATTTTGCGATCGTATATTGGTATGACGTTGGCGTCGTCGTCGTCCGGCGTCGTCGTCCGAAGACACATTGGTTTTCGCACTCTAACTTTAGTTTAAGTGAATGGATCTCTATGAAATTTTACCATAAGGTTCAATACCACAAAAGGAAGGTTGGGATTGATTTTGGGGGTTATGGTACCAACCGTCAAGGAATTAAGGGACAAAAAGGGGCCAAAAATAAGCATTTTTGTAACTTCCAGACATAACTTGTGTGTTAGTGTATGGATCTCTCTGACATTGTACCACAAGGTTCCATATCACAAAGGGAATGCTGGGATTGATTTTGGGGGTAATGGCCTCAAAATTTTAGGAATTAGGGGCCAAAAAAGGGGCAAAAACAAGCATTTTTATATGGACAAATACTTTGGTACAAAACATAATTTAAAGCAGTGTAAGGGAGATAAATCAAATTCATCATTTGAATTACCTCCCTTACACTGCTTTTTATACGACCGCAAAAAAATTTTGTGGTCGTATATTGGTATGACGTTGGCGTCGTCGTCGTCGTCGTTGTCGTCGTCGTCGTCCGGCGTCGTCGTCGTCCGGCGTCGTCGTCCGAATACATATTGGTTTTCGCACTCTAACTTTAGTTTAAGTGAATGGATCTTTTTGAAATTTGACCATAAGGTTAAATACCACAAAAGGAAGGTTGGGATTGATTTTGGGGGTTATGGTACCAACAGTTAAGGAATTAGGGGCCAAAAAGGGGCCAAAAATGAGCATTTTCTAGTTTCCAGACAATAACTGTGGAACGGTGTATGGATCTCTCTGAAATTATACTACAAGTTTCCATACCACAAAGGGATGGTTAGGATTTGCTTTGGGGGGTTATGGCTCAAACCGTTTAGGAATTAGGGGCAAAAACAAGTTTGTCCTGGTTAATGGACAAATACTTTAGTACAAAACATAATTTAAAGCAGTGTAAGGGAGATAAATCAAATACATCATTGAAATTATCTCCCTTACACTGCTTTTAAATTATGTATAAAGTAATGGTTAATGAACAATAAAGATAATCTAAAACAGTGTAAGGGAGGTAATCCAAATACAACGTTTTGGTTACTTCCCTTACTCTGCTTTTAAATTATGTTTAAAGAAATGCATATTTATAAAGGAAGACCAGTAAAAATATCTGCAAATGTTTTCATCTTTTTTTTTTACAAAAAAATCCATATGAAAGATTTGACACTATATTTTTATTAATTCTATCATAAAATAGATTAAGTTAGCACTATGGTAAATTTAAATGGGTAATTATGGTTGCCAACTCCATTGGAAATTTGAATTGAGATTATGACCATATCTTGAGGGAAAGAATTTTTTTGGGGGAAAAGGGGGGGGGGATAAAAACAAATTGTGGGGGGGCCAATTTTTTCTCATTTCAGAATTCAGAAATTAAAAAGAATTATTCTTCAAATATTATTTTTTTTTCAAATTTCAAATATTGAAAAATTTCAAGAAGTAATCTTTAATTGCACAGTATGGCGCATTAGATTTGTAAAATCTTTGATCACATTTATTTATTTGTTATGCCGAATCTAACAGTGTATTTAGATTTTTAATTTTGAGTCCAGTTTTCAAATTGGTCTACATTAATGTCCAAAGGGTCCAAAATTAAACTTTGTTTGATTTTAGCAAAAATTGAATATATGAGGTTCTTTGATATGCTGAATCTAAACATGTATTTAGATTTTTGATTTTTGGCCCAGTTTTCAAGTTGGTCCAAATTGGGGTCCAAAATTAAACTTTGTTTGATTTCAACAAAAATTGAATATATGGGGTTCTTTGATATGCTGAATCTAACCATGTATTTAGATTTTTTATTTGTGGACCCCGTTATCTAATTGGTTCATATTGAGGTCAAAAGGGTCCAAAATTAAACTTTGTTTGATTTCATCTAAAATTGAATTATTGGGGTTCTTTGATATTCCAAATCTAACCGTGTATTTAGGTTTTTAATTTTGGGTCCTGTTTTTATACGACCGCAAAAATTAAAAATTTTTTGGTCGTATATTGGTATGACGTTGGCGTCGTCGTCGTCGTCGTCGTCGTCGTCGTCGTCCGGCGTCGTCGTCGTCCGGCGTCGTCCTGCGTCGTCCGAAGACACATTGGTTTTCGCACTCTAACTTTAGTTTAAGTGAATGGATCTCCATGAAATTTCACCATAAGGTTCAATACCACAAAAGGAAGGTTGGGATTGATTTTGGGGGTTATGGTACCAACAGTTAAGGAATTAGGGGCCAAAAAGGGGCCAAAAATAAGCATTTTTGTAACTTTCAGACAATAACTTGTGTGTAAGTGTATGGATCTCTCTGACATTGTACCACAAGGTTCCATATCACAAAGGGAAGGCTGTAATTGATTTTGGGGGTAATTGCCTCAAAATTTTAGGAATTAGGGGCCAAAAAAGGGGCAAAAAACAAGCATTTTTCTAGTTTCATGACAATAACTTGTGTGTAAGTGTTTGGATATTTCTGAAATTGTACTACAAAGTTCCATATCACAAAGGGAAAGCTGGAATTGAGTTTGGGGGTAATTGCCCGAAACGTTTAGGAATTGGGGGCCAAAAAGGGGCCAAAAATAAGCATTTTTCTAGTTTCCAGACAATAACTTGTGTTCAAGTGTATGGATCTCTCTGAAATTGTACTGCAAGGTACCATACCACAAAGGGAAGGCTGGGATTGAGTTTGGGGGTGATGAATCATAAGGGGGTTCAAAAAATTTGGGGGGGGGGGGATTTTTTTTCTTTTTTTTTTTCTTTTTTTCCTTTTTTTTTTCTTTTAAAATTTTCCATTTTAAGTTGGTTATTTCTGATTTATATTTAAAAGCAAATAATAATGATATGGTAGGAGATACACACCAAACAGGATGTGTAAATTATTATATAATAAGTATTGTGCAATAGCAAGAAATTTTCAATTGCACAGTATTGCACAATAGCAAGAAATCTTCAATTGCACAGTATTGCGCAATAGCAAGAAATCTTCAATTTAACAGTATTGCGCAATAGCAAGAAATATCCAATAGCACAATATTGCGCAATAGCAAGAAATTGTCAATTGTACAGTATTGCGCAATAGCAAGAAATATTCAATTGCACAGTATTGTGCAAAAGAAGATACTTCGTATAAATTGCTTATTTCTTGATCAATTTCAATGGGGTTTTATTCTTGAGTTCTTGGGGTTCTTTAATATGCTGAATCTAACCGTGTATTAAGTTTTTGGATTTTGGGCCCTGTTTTTAAATTGGTCCACATTGAGGTCCAAAGGGTCCAAAATTAAACTTTGTTTGATTTCATCAAAAATTGAATTATTGGGATTCTTTGATATGCCGAATCTAACCGTGTAATTAGATTTTTATACGACCGCAAAAAAATTTTGTGGTCGTATATTGGTATGACGTTGGCGTCGTCGTCGTCGTCGTCGTCGTCGTCGTCGTCGTCCGGCGTCGTCGTCGTCCGGCGTCGTCGTCCGAATACACAATGGTTTTCGCACTCTAACTTTAGTTTAAGTGAATGGATCTCTATGAAATTTTACCATAAGGTTCAATACCACAATAGGAAGGTGGGGATTGATTTTGGGGGTTATGGTACCAACAGTTAAA